TTTTTTTTTATTATTGGTGGTAATATAAACTAGTACAACCACTATGAATATTGTAATGTGGTCTCCTCACAAAACCAAAATCAGAAATTTCACTGGACCCAACTATTCCTTTTCTAGGTATCTTCTTGAAAGAGTTAAAGACACCATGTGGCAGTGATACATGTACACCCATGTGTATAGCAGCTCAATCCGTAACAGCTGAACCTTGGAAGCAACCTGTGTGTTCATCACCAGATGATAGGATAAAGAAAGTGGAGAATTTATGCACAGTGGAGTATTCCTCTGCCATAAAGAACAACAAACTTGGGCCATTTGTACCAAAATGGATGAACCTTAAGACCACAATGCTAAGTGAAATAAATTAGACATACACTTAAACATCTCATGGTTTGTCTTATATGAGAAACCTGAATTATAAACAAACAGGAAAAGAAAAGGCAGATAATAGGAAGTAGGGAGTTAGGTCTTCCTCAAGTGGGAAAAAGACCAAGAGATAGGAGTAAAGGAAAGGGAATGAAAACAGGAATTAAGAAGTGTTATGGGCAAGCACCAACTCCATACAAGAAGTGGGAACATCACGTACTGTACCACGTACTCATGAGATAAGATCCAGCAGAAAAATTAAGAACATACAGATAGGAAAAAAGTACAGTTGTCTTTATTCGTAAGTCACAAGATTTTACATAGAAAAATAAGTCTACTAAAAAAAAAAAATCCCAGAAAGTCCTATTAGAATTCATGTGGGAAGCAAGCAAAATTGTAAAATACAAGCCTGTGGTAATATCTTTTAAATGTCATATACACCACTGTAAAAGAGTAAATTTATTTATTTATTTATTTATTTATTTATTTATTCATTGAATTTTTTTGGCAGAACTGGGGATTGAACTCAGGCCTTTACACTTGCCATGGAAGCACTTATTCCACTAAGCCATCTCCCCGGCCCCCAAAAGAGTGAATTTAATGAAGAAAATTTATAAAATCTTTCAGAGAGAAGTTAAAAAAGACCTAAATAAATAGAAATCTATATCATATTCTTGGCTTGTAAAACTCAATCTTTTGTAGACTATCCTTTCTCCTAAAATTTATCTATAGAGTCAGTGCAATTCCAATATTATTCTGAATTAACAAACTGATTCTAAAGTTTAAGTAAAAATCCAAAGCACCCAGGCAAAACAAAATAATCATTTAATATAAGAAATAAATTAGAGCCAGGGATATAGCTCAGCAACACAGCACTGGCCTGGCAAGGGTGAGGTTGTGAGTTCAATTCGCAATAAAAAAAAAAAAAAAAAGGATGAAATTAGAAGACTCTCACTCCTCTACTTCAAAGTTAGTGTAAAGCTACAGTAATCCAGTAGGGTGGAATTGGCATATCAACTTCTATACATGGAAAGTTCACTGGTTTTGACAAAGGTGTCAAGGTAATTCAGTGACGACGATCAACAAACAGTGCTTGAATTATTTCTTTGTATAATAAATCAGTGATTCCCTAACTTACACCAAACATAGGAACTATTGTGATATGATCCAAAGACTTGAAAGCCAAAGCTAGTGTAACTATAAAGTTTCTGGAAGAAAATATACGAGACTTTGTGACATTGAGCTAGAGCCCATAGGATACAGAAAGAATTGTAAGTTAAGTAAAAAAGAAACCTTGAAAAATAGACCTACATCAAAATTAAAAACTAATCAAACATTATGAAAATGGGAAAAAAATTAATTTTTTAAAACTATATTTATTTATTTATTTATATTCTGGTATAGGGTCTCACTACACAGCTCAGACTCATAGTGATCCTCCTGTCTCATCCTCCCCAGCACTGGGATTACAGGTGTGCACCACCACTCCCAGTTTCAGTGGCTGGCACAGCATGGGACCGGCATGGCATGTGGTACTGAGGGTCATACTGGGGTCCTTATGCTTGCCATGCAGGGGCTTAGACCATCGACCTATCTCACCGATCTGATAGCTATCTCTAGAGCTATCTCTCCCAAGCTATCTCCCCAGCCCCATCCAATATATTTTGTATAGCTGACAAAAGGACTTATTTCTAGAAGGTATCAACTCCTGCAGTTCAGTAAGGACAAAATAGACAGCTAAGAAAAAAAAAAAAAAAAGGCAAGAATAGACATCTCAAGGCATACATGTACACATGATCCACATTAATAGTCACCAAGGAAATGCAGTTCGGAATATGATGAGACTAGTTCATGTCCAGCTGATAGGACTAAGTCCCTGAGATGGGAAACATTGTGCACTCACAGACATTATTGATGGGAACATAAAATGGAATAACCATTGTGGAAAAAAATTGGCAATTTCCTGCAAAGTTAAACACACTCCTACCCTAAGATCCAGAAAATTCAGTCGTAGGTGTTTAAACACATAAAATAGACATACATCTCCACATACTCATACGAGGGCACTTCTAGTAGCTTGAGTCATAATAGCAAAGAGCTGGAAGCAATCCCAAATGTTCCTCAAGGAAAGACGGGAGGGAGAGAGGGAGGAGAAGGGGACATCAGAATAACTAGGATGTATTGTATGCATGTGCCAATTCCCCACCATGAATGCAATCATTATGTTCAGCAAGTAAGTACTAATAAAAATAAAACTTTAAAGTGAAAAAATAAATTGTGATAAGTTCAATACAATGGAAGGGGGGCCTGCTCATTACCTCAGGTGTTTAAGTGCCTGCTGAAACAAAGCAGTCACGCTCAGGATGCTGTAGTTCGATCCCCTCATCCTCAAGCCAAACCAGACCTACCCTGAAGGCGTCCTGAGCAGCCACCCTCCCCCCACAAAAAAAACCTCCTTCAATAAAATGGAAAAACATAAAAGAAAGAGCAATGTTTGGATCTTCCATAATGTAAATGGAACCCAGAAACTTCATGTTGAGTGAAAGAAGCCAGACTGGAAAGTGTGCAGACCCATGATTAGATTTAAACAACGTCAGCGACAGAGGGGAGAAAGCAGTTCATTGGCTGTGTGGACTGGGGATGGGGATTAACTGCAGAGGGATGAAGAACTCCTGGGCCAAGGAAGTGCTGTGCATGGAGGCGCACACGGAACCCTCTGCGGTCATGGCTTGTGTGGCATCTGGCAGTGACCGGCTGAGCGACCGTTGTTCCATAAGACCACATCATGGCAGTGTCCTAGCGTCTTGGCTCGTGAGAGGCTCACGCAATGATGAAGTCACCTAAGGATACAGTTCCCAACATATCCCAGTATTCAGCAAAGCATGACTGCACTAAAAATCTATGCTTTTTGTTATGTGAAAATTATATTCCAATAAAGTTAATTAATTTTTTAAAACTCAGCCCACGAGGACTGGTGATGAGTTAGCTGAACTAACTAACATAAAATGTTTGTTCATACCTTGAATAACCAGAGATTAATCATTTTCACTAGAGACCAATTTCACAGGTTATCTGATTCCTCTCTTACTACAAGTGCTTAATTCTAGATAGAAAAACATGATTTCTCTCTTAGAAACAAAACAAAACATTACAAATCTCTTTAAAGCTGTGAACTGATCATGGCAATAAGTATTGCTTCAGGCCAAACTGAAAACTCTAATGCTGCATTGACACAATCTTCCCTTTTGCATTTTGGCACGCTGGCCCTTTCCAGGCTTTGGACACGAGCCTCCTGCAGGTAGCAAGCTACCTTTCTGGGCCCAATTTTAAATCTTGGATGATTGGGGAGGCTGTGGTAGCCTCTGCCCCAGCTGCCCCACAGTCCTCATCTGTGACTTGGCCCAGTGATACTATTGTGGTTCTTGAATAATTTTCTTGGGGTGGCTTAGGAGTCTGCAACCCTGTGCATGCTCAGGTGCTTCAGAGACCCCATGTGTTACTGACATTGTTGTTCCCTTCCTGTCACACAGGAAATGCTCAAGGATGAGGTGCGGACACTCACCTACCGGAACTCCATGTACCACAACAAGCATGTGTTCAAGGACAAAGTGGTGTTGGACGTGGGGAGTGGGACTGGGATCCTGTCCATGTTTGCTGCCAAAGCGGGGGCCAAGAAGGTGTTTGGGGTGAGCATGCCATGCCCTGCCTCACACTAGCCCGACTCCCACCTCTCTGGCCCTTTGCAGAGACAAACATCTGGATCCATCTTTCTTTCTGATCTTGGGCTTCACAAGCTAGGCAAGTACTTTGTCCTGAGCCACATCCTCAGCCCCGCTCCATCTGTTTTTTTGGAGCTAGAGCTCTGACCAGAGTAGAGAAGATGAAGCATGACTTGCAGAAGGCAGGTGGGTTTCCTGTCACCAAGTCTTCACCTGGCCCCTGGCCCCATGACCATACACCGGTGGAGGATTTTTGGCTGTCTGAAGATCACTCATGGTTATCCTCTTGGCTTGAGAGCGTTAGGGTGCAGTTACAGATGTGAGTTCTGGCTTGACTTTCTGCCCCTTCACACACTCAGTGAGTGACCTTGCATAATTCACACACAGTTTTCCTGTCTATAAAATGGCCGTAATAAGGGTACCTTGCCTGTAGGGTGAGTATAAGGATCACACAAACACCAAGAGCTTAGAATGGTTCCTGACACGTGGCAAATGCTTAGGGTTTGTTGCCATGGCTGAGCTTGGGTCCTAGGAGAGAACATTCTTCTTTTTTCCCTGCAGGGCAAATCCTGCCACTTTGGTCACTGCAGGGCTCCTTCAGTGAAGCCTGACCAACCCTCACACACACACACACACACA